TTGGCGGAGGGCTACATGGTCGGGTGTACGCCCGCCCGTGGTTTTGTGTACAGTTTTCAGGTGAGCAAAGATACTGTACGGGAAGCTCAGTGATGGTTTATCGTGGGCCCAGGCGGGTTGCGTCAGAGGGGTAAGTGGATTTGTGCTGGCCATTGAGTCGAGTTTTATTCCCAGGCAACCTCCGAGGTAGTCCGCGAATTGTCGCAAGGGGAGCAGGCCGCAAAAGTGAAGTAAGTTTGTTTGATGTTTAGGAAACCGAGGGTATTTAGTGCCCGTGATGATGGCTGCTGCTTGAATGAGTGCTGAGTTAAAGCGTTCGAATAGGGGGTCCAACGCATCCTTCCACATAGGCAGAGCCCAGGCAATAATGTTCATCCCATATGTAGCCGTGGATAGGATGAATGTCTTGAACATCACCAGTCGGTTGCGGGGGTGTCGCCAGCTGAAGCCATGGAAGCCATAAGCGCGGAAAGAGGCGATACCCAGTGACAATGCTGCAACTAGGAATTCCATATGTCTAGCGAGGTTGATTCCTGGTACTCCGTGAGAGAGTGGGAACCCTGGGTATTTGTAGTGTTTCGGTTCGGCATGTGTGGGCGCCAGTTTCAGGGGGAGGTAACGTGTGTTCCAAGGTGCGTCTGCAAGCGTCGGCATGATAAGCTCACCACTTATACGGATGGTTGGTGCCGCGTGTCGCAAGTCGGTAGATTGTACTCGGGGTTTAATGACACCCTGTTCGAGGCCAGATTTGCGTCCCCACGCATCAATGTCATCTAAGAAGGGCTGGAGCGAAACCGATCGAGGGGCTTGGATCCGTGTGTCATCGACAAATAAATATGAACGGAAGAGCTTGGGCCGAAATTGTGCTAGCGTGACAGCTAAGGAATCCATGTAGATAATAAAGAGCTGGGGACCGACGATTGAGCCTTGTAGGATGCCATTCGTTCTAAGGAATAGAGACGAGAGCGTGCCGCGGTATGTCACTCGGGTAGGGACCCTCTCAAACAGCGCGCGGAGGCAGTTGATCCAGTTTTCGGGCATTCCAGCGTGACGCAAAAGTACCCATAGGCGTGGGAGAGCGACCTTGTCGTATGCCTTGGTTATGTCCAGACAGACATCGTTCCACTCCTCTTCTGACTGTGTCTCAGATTCCATGGCGGCAAGTGCTTGGGTATGACAGGAGTACCGTGATTTGAAGCCAGCTTGGATAGCATGGGTAGCAGAGCCGGGGTGGCTCGTAATCAGATTAAGAAAGCACTTTTCAAAGATGCGTCTGACTATTTGTGTAAGCGTGATGGGACGGAAGTCGGCGGGGGAGGTGAAATCTGCATCGGCTTTCTTTGGGTGCGCTGTTAGGAGGCTGCAGTTCAGGGCTGCGGGAAAGGTACCCGCCATCAGTAGCTCAGTGAATGCTTCGGCAAGGAGTCTAATCAGTGGGCTATTGGCGTCGGGGCGTCCCAATGTCTGACGTTCGGTAGAGCGCTTCACTGAGGCCTTCAGGAGGAGGATGTGGATCCCGTCGGGGCCAGGTCCCTTATTGGGATAGCGTAGTATTGCCTCCATTACATCGTCGGAGCGTATGGTGGAAGTGACATCAGGAGAGGGTTCGGTATCCGGTGGAACCACGTACGGGTTTGTAGAGTTGAATAGGGCCTCAAAGTAGCCAGCGAGGGTAGCGCCTGTGTCATCGGTACCCGGTATGCAGGGTTGGCGCGGAGACCGTCGTTGGTACGCAATATCTTTGAACATTTGAGCATTGCTTTGGGCGGTCAGACGTGGGCGGAACGAGTGGTTTGGCAGCTGCTGAACCCAAGGTCTGTTTAAGTCATAATAGAACCCTCCAAAGATTTGTGGGTTAGTGGCATAGCGCCAGATGCGGTCGAGGATTCGTAGCAGCCCTTCCGCTGGTCCATGTAAAGTGAGATACGACCGTAGTAGGTTCTGATGCGCCCTGATTTCGGCTTGGAATAATCGCGCGCGGGATTTGTTGCGTAGGTGATACAGTCGATGGCGATATCGGTTATATCCATGGGAGGGGAGGCGTTGGTCCGGAGGCGGCGGCATTGCTGGCATTTGTTGGGGCTGATGGATTTGATTCGTGGGAAGTATCTGGAGATCGAGTCCAAAGGTGTGGTCACCACAGATACCGTAGTCCGTCAGCTTATAGGTTTGGAGGGAGGCGGGGGTGGTAGGTCGATGATACGCATGTTCAGTACCAGTTGAGCCGCCAGCATAGAGGTAGTCCAAGTGCCACGTCTTACGCAGAATAGTTTCAATCGTTTTCATACGTAGTCCGTGATTTGTAGATGCGTGGCCATACTTCCGAGCTTTGAAGTTGAAATCTCCCCACACGACATCTGGTTGGAAACCGCCAATCTCGGGGGGATTCATGTATCGCCTGACGTCTTCTTCAGTAAGCGATTTGAGTGGAAAGTAGAACACGGTCATATGAATGCCAAAGCACACAAAGAACACCGCGTACGGTGAAGAGTGTACAAGTTGAAAATTCGATGGGTAGTGTTTGGAAAATATGCCAATACCACAGTGTGAAGGGTGTAAGATATTATGCTGTGTAGTGTGGTGTAGGATATGGTAGTGTGTGTTCGAGCGTATATGATTAAGAAATGTGGTGTTATGCCAGGTTTCAACCACACACATAACATCAACCTGACTTAAAATCGATATAACGTTCAGACACTTATCTGTATGTGCTGCGTTGTCCATGTTGAGTCCTTGTGGGTTGAAGAGCGTCATTCTCATTGGGCCTAACATTGTTCATCATCGGTCAATACTACTGGGCTCTCCTCGTGTATTAATTCGTAGACTCATAACTCTAGCTAGTTGATAGAAATTATGTCACCTATGTTCTTTTATCACTAGTCTACCTCGCTTTGTTGTGTAGGGCCCCTGATCTCAGTGGACTTTCTTGTTTGAAAATCCTCAACATTATTTAAATAATCAATGCGAAACTTCTAATTTTTCTACACGCGGATATTCTCTTTGTGATCATAACAACACTTGTACAGCCTTGACCCGTGTCCAGCTTACTTCTGGACACGATATTGATACCTTGGTTGTTGTCCTGAGGCCACGTTATCTGAGGGGTTTTTCTTCTTATTTGCTCCTCTTCGTTCTTCTTTCCGCGGCAGTCCTGGATAGTGAATCCACCTTCTTTTTGTTGGCCCTACTGAGAACTTAGCCTCCTCACGTTTGTAATAACACTTCTTCACTCTGGTGTTACTTCCTCGTGGTATTCAGAACTGTGATGAATTATAATTCACTAATTACGATATATTCTTTAACTTATAGTGACTCTGGTTGACTTATCTAAGTAAGGATATTGTAAAAAATGTAGAGTTTGGAGAGTAGCTGAAAGGTACGAGACAAATGGATACAACAGACCTCTTAAATACGGCTATCTCAGCTAGGAAAAGTCCTTAGTCTGAGTGAACCAAACTGAGTCTTTATTTGTGTTTTCACTAGACTCAGAATTTACTTGAGTGCTTCTCTCACACGCGGGAGTCCTAGTATAGCTTACCGATTCTATCGCTAATATTTCTGATGACTCTAATATCAAAAATATTCCAATCCCAATTCCAAAACTCAGTATTTGATTATTCTGGCATTTGGGATTTGGATTGGCTTTTTGATAATCTGGTCCCTAGATGGTACATACAGCCTCGTGTCTCCAGGATACATAGTTCTTAGAGGCACACTTCAGCGGGGTAAAATCTACCTTGGTTAAGTCAAGGCTGACGTATCTGTCGTTAAAACGGAACTTACCAGTCAGTAATCTTACTCTTCAGATTTATTAAAATAATATTCATAATCTTATTTACAAAGTCAGGCAATAATGCCTTGGCTGTGTCAGACGGTGGTGATATGGTTTTAAACAATTATCGTCTTATTGATCTTTTAATGGATCGATGTTGTTCGGTAGCTCAGTTACAGTTATACCTAATGTGAACAGATTGCTCATTCCGACTATAATTTAGTGTTTCTGTAACATCTTAAGTATCACAGCTTGAGTGGTGATATTTATATTATCGGCCAAGGAGATTTTATCATCGATGGCCATGGTTCACACTTAGAAGTATTCTCATCTGCTGAAATAAGATGAGTGGTTTGCGTTCGCCGTTCGATATCTTTCATCAACGAAAAGCGATCGGATATACAAGAGATTTCTGAACCAGGATCAATCAGTGCAAGATTTTTATTTCCGTTGCAATATACAGGGATAATTACACGTTCATTTAAGGGGTTGTTGTATTGTCTTCGTATCGATTGTACCCGGTAGTACCTTCACTCCAACTTAATGTCGGGCTCCTTGTCGCAAGACTTAGTGTGATAGTGTGATAGCCATTGGTCTTCTCGCACTTATTGCACTTTGCGAGATAATGTGTGCAAGCAGGTGCGTGATTTTCGTTCCAATAATCGTCAGGGGTAAATTGGTACATATTATATCCGCAATTGTCATTCGCACACTTCTTGATATGCTTTTACGCAGGGCCCTTAGGCGCGGCACGCACCTTCTTAACAGGGCGTGTATTCTGAGTAGTCTCACGAGGGCGTGTCTGAGTGGTCCTCCTGTTTGAGGTCTACCGAGATTCTCTCGCCGCCTTCTCCCGAGAGGTCACTCGTCCGGGAGGGTTTACGGAGGATACAGTCTGATAGAACCGATCCCAATTTAGCTGAGTCAAATAAACCTTTGACTAGTGTCCCATATCACGAGATTCGTTTGCATACTTGCGACGAGCCCCAGTATACAAACTCTCTCGGACATTGTTTCCGATGTTCTTACAGAACACATACATAGGCAGAAACTCGTACCATCGCGGCATGTCGTTCTTCTTTATATCAGGGCGTTTTAGGTCCGCGTCGAGCTTCAATATATAACTATATATGGGCGTGTTTGGTGCTGGTTCGGCTAAGATTGAACTTAGTCATGGGCTGCGCGTGTCCTTGCTTAATAAAATCGTTACTAACCAATAAACCGCCGGTCAGTCAGGGCAGTGGCCTAATTCATCATGATGTCTTCGAAGGATGAAGTAGCTTGATCCTATAGGATCAAACGACTGCATAAGTACAGATATCCATTGATGTGGAGCAGCATCATTCGTCTCCAACATCACTGCAAATGCATTCAGCGTGCGGGTCAAAGTATCGAGATCATGGTTATTGATAAACTCAGACTTTTGACTGCTGGCTTCCCAGTTTGACTTAAGTTGTCTGATCATTTCCTTATACTTCTGGTTGTGTTGGTGGTCTCGCCTACGTTGAGCCTGCAGTATTTTTTTAATGGCGATCAAACTAGCATAGTATACTACGTCTTCAGCATCATGGCGATCGTGTGCAATCTCCATCTGAATGGTGTAGTCGTCGACTGTCTTATTAAGCTCCGTCACCTCATCAGATTGCAAGTTTTCTACGGGTTGATGGAGGCCGCAATCCATTGTGGATAGTTTGCGTTGATCATTAGTGAAGACCTCCGAAGGTATCACGATCTGAGATACACCACGCATAGGGATTATCTGTCCCGTGGACTTTGGTTTCCGGCGTGGGGCATCTCCCCAGTTAGAAATTTCCGGCGGAGTATTCTTCCCTGTTTCGTGGTCTATAATTCCCTCGAGTATAGGGGACTCATGTCCTGGAGATTATTCGGGCGTATAACACGCCTGTTCCTCTGGGGGTGAACCCCCGTAAGCTAATTGCCAGATTGATTGTTCCGGTTCGCCGGCTACGGGGTTTGCGCTCAGATTTCTACCTTTTTGAAGGCGGCTTCTCTAATTTGCATTCAGTCCATTTCTGCAGAGCTTTTGTGGTTCCAGGAGAAAGGTGTTCGTGAAAGCGCTCTGGGTTTTCTCCAGATCCATACATGCGATCTACGTGTTCAATGGCTAGACTCTGTTTAAGAGCAGATAATTGATTCTTGAGTTCAGTATTTTCAGCAGTTAACATGCTTCTGCGAGTTGACTCGGTGGGCTTGGACTTTGATTCGGGTTGGCTATTCGAGCTTTTCTCCTCTTCATGTTCCTTTGGCGGTACCCTCTGAGGTTCGTAATCTTCTACCGCAATCAGTGACACTTCTTTCTGAGATTCCTTATAAGGATTAGCTGGGGTGTCCTTAGACACACCCTGTATCTCACTTCTTGGCTTCGTAAATGCAAGCTTCAAAGTTGAGGCAATATTTGGCCCTCGGGCTCTTTCTTCGGGAGACTTCTCTCTTGATGGAGTGGTCTCACCCTTGTCCGACGCATTGTCTTGGCTGTTAGTGCCAGCGACAATAGCTTCGGCTACGGCTCAATTCACTTCATCGGCAGCGGCAGTGGATGCGGCGGCGGCGATGGCTGCATCTCTCTCCATCTTCTTCTTTTCGGCCTTTTGCTTCTTAGAAGGTGTATTGTCCTTCTTAGTCATAAAATGTTAATTGAGATTTTCGTCTATTCTCTTAAGGAATAGCTACGTTAAGAAAAATTTCGTGATATTTAACCACCACTACTTTCAAGTAGTCTGCGTAGTTAATACCTTTAATAACTTTAAAATGTGTAAATTTCGGTCTCACAAGGCGGTGTTAACGACTTAGAGTAAATAAACGCGTAAAACGGTTTAAATTCAAAAAATTCAAAGTAAAATAAACGAAATGAGTCTTTTATTAAAGTTGGGTATATCTCGTGAAAACAGCAATACTCTGAGGGATTGTGAAGCTGAGACATTGCCTATATACAATCTTCTCAATACTGTTTTCGCCGAAGGAAAATTTTATTTATCTGGACTCAATCTGCGGGGGGTATCACTATGTGCAATGCCAAGAGGAACATGTGTATCACCGAAAACCAATGCAACAGACCGTCACGCCCACCACCTTATCGGATACGACCTTGAGAAAAAGACGCTCTAAATCCTCCCACGGAGGATTGAGCCATAAGTTGAGAGTGCGCCAGCAAAGCGCCCATACCCCTCCCTTCAGAGGAGGAGAATAGAAGGGAATCATTTATTGACTTCCTGGAAGAGCAGATCCGTCAGCATGGTGGGGGCCGAAGCGGGCATCCGCCAGGCGGAACCACATCACTGCCAATTTATACTCTGTCGTTCTGGGGGTGGACGTATCAACTAGGGACCAGTGAACACGCTTCGCTGTGCTTTTCGCTGGCTTCCGAGCTAGCTGCATTTCGTAGTCAACTACATGAGTCAACCGAGAAAACATGTCGGCTATCCTATTGCCTTTACCCCGAACGTGGTATATACGTATATCGATATCTCGGTAGACCTCCTGCCAACGCTGCTCCCGACGACCGCGCGGGTCATCAGTGAAGCCATCTTACTTCCGCATCGCAAGGAGTGCAATATGGTCAGTAGGAACTTTTAACCCTTTCGCAGATCGTTTGATGATCCGCCAGAGTTTCTTCATGCCGTAGACTCCAGCGATGATATGATAGAACAAACCCAAAGAGTATGTACCTTTACATCGACATGGAGACTCCGAACCACACCACATCAAGAAATAACCGCACCGTTATGGGCACTAACACCTTCGCCAGATCCGAGCCACACCAGGAAGGTTGAAGAGAACAAGGAAGAAAGATGACAGATTACAGAAGACGAAGTGGAACACAAATAATAAATAAAAAAGATAGGTGTAAAAGTTGGAAGATCACCAAGACAACAAGGAATGTGGACGTACACGTCAGAAAATGTCAAATAGGGATATATATGTAAGATGCACCATATATAGTACTCAAGTAAAAAAATTGAAATAAGAAATAGTGGTCAGACATAATCGGAGTGGCAGTATGACATGGGTAAGATTTCACGGTAACAGATATCCATGCAAAGACAGGAACACGGAGAGATGTGCATTACAGCAAGTGTTAAACAGACAGGAAGTAAGTTGCACACACAGTAAGCTCATACACCAGTATAGAGCACAATAATGTGAAATACGTTAGTACCATGAGTGATGAACCTGCAAGCAAGTGACATCAATGTGTACGTGAATACAAAGCAATGGCAATTTGTGTGTGCGTTCAATGTGGGGGTGCGCCGTCCAAGCGAGTTAGAAGAGACAAGTGCTTGCGTAAGTCCAGGATCCCAGACGAGAACGACGGGTGATATTGGCGGACAAACTGATTAGCTACGAGAGGTTAGAGGCGACAATCGTTGGGGGATTAGATGAGCTTTGAAAGGAGTAAAGAACATGTGCTTAGATGAGATGGAAGACGGATGTTGGGAGCATGGAGTTACCGAGAGAGCAGTGGCACGTGAGCCAAGAGCAGGGGTTAGTTGGAAAAGTAAAAGAGCAACCACAACGAGACCCGGGATTAGCTTAAGGCACGATTGCCTATGCAGGGACAACGCCGATGCGTCGATACTACGAAATAGAGCAAGACGTAGACGATGTATGTACCGTCAACAGGGCTTCAGGTTATTCGAATAGCGATGACATGATAAGGCGGAAGAGAGGCAAAGATAACGTCACATCGTTTATTAATCGACAGCCATAACTCAGGGCCACCATAACCAATATTAAACAGAGTCGACGACAACAACATCTGTTGCCAGAACAACGCGAGAGAGATGACATTCATCAACGGGGTTTTAGACGTCGCACCCAGGATCGCGCAGACACTAGTGGAGACATGTTGGACGATCTGGAGGCGGAACATCGCACTAATAAATAATATTATCCCTAACGAAGTAATACTTCAGCGGACCCTAACAGTGCAACAACAACGAAATGGGCAGATAACAACTCCCAGTGATGTGGATTTTACAGACAGGGACCAACGTAACCCTGAACCGTTAAGAGGCACACGTTCGGCATCGCAGACTGCGCATCAAGTAGGTACAACTCCTCGAGAGGTCTCAAGAGCTGCCGGAGGCAAGCGCCCGGGTCATCGCCGACAAGGGAAACAACATAGCCGAGGGAGAGACAGTAACACACAGGAACAGCTGACAAATCTACTTCGACAATAGCAATCATTATTGGAGATATACGATCGACGGTTACAACGCTTACAACGGGCAAAATCCCCACCGCCGGACAATCTCGAATTCCGCATCAAAGGTGCGGACCAGACTCGTCACGGGGTAGGGTATACGTCGTCGGATCAGTAGGAGGATGTTACACGACAGGATTAGCGCATGTACGTATTCGGATCAGAGCCCTAAACTGAGTTTATGACCGATCCATAAATAAACATTAATAACCCAAAATCGTATACCAAACCACAAAAACCATAATAACCCTAAATCGTATATCTGACCACAACAACAGTTCGTGCAGGAAGCTATGGGCGATAGTCTGATGGCACGTCGAATGCTCGGACGCACTCCGTCGAATCAAGTTATGTCAGCTAGTGGAGACATGTCGGACGATCTGGAGGCGGAACATCGTACTAACAATGCAATACTTCAGCAGACCCTAACAGTGCAACAACAAGGAGATGAGCGGATAACAACTCCTAGTGATGTGGATTTCACAGACAGGGACCAACGTAACCCTAAACCGTTAGAGGCACACGTTCGGCATCGCAGACTGCACATCAAGTAGGTACAACTCCTCGAGAGGTCTCAAGAGCTGCTGGGGGCAAGCACCCGCGTCATCGTCGACAAGAAAACCGACATAGCCGAGGGAGAGACAATGACACACCGGAACAGCTGACAAATCTACTTCGACAACAGCAATCATTATTGGAGATATACGATCGACGGTTACAACGCTTACAACGGGCGAAATCCCCGCCGCCGGACAATCTCGAATTCCGCATCAAAGGTGCGGACCAGACTCGTCACGGGGTAGGGTATACGTTGTCGGATCAGTAGGAGGATGATACACGACAGGAACCGTTATCACCTCAGAGCTTTGTACAAGAACAACAACGAGTTACGCAGAACCCACACGGTAGGAATGCGCTAGACATCCGCCGAGATAATATGGAGATGTCTATCCAGGCACAACGTCAGGGACAACAGTTCGTGTAGGAAGCTATGGGCGATAGTCTGGAAGCACGTCGAGTGCTCGAACGCACTCTGTCGAATCAAGTAACGCCAGCAGACAAGCGACGTCGTCTAGCTCAACAGATCACACCTCTTACTCCGGACAGTATATCGGCTGACCGCCAGGCCTTGCATGCCCGGATGCTCAAGCGGTCAGAAGAGCTCTATAGTGCAGTGGAGAAGAACGATTTACTACGAGCGGTGGCTCTACGGGGTGTACTTGAGACTTTGAGAGCAACATACGACTCTCGACCAGCGAACAAACCAGAACCACACGAGCCGCGTAGTTGGCCTGAGAGGCCCTCTAACCGGTACAAACTCAGCAACATTATGGAGCGCGACACTAAAGGGGCACTACGTAAAGCCCTTAAGAACACGCAAATTTCGGGGCTAGATGAGGCATGGAGCTTCCGTTGGTTCTATAAGGTGTTGAACCACTTTAGAGCCGAGCAATCTACACTCAATTATATAAAATTCAATCACCAACGTTTAGTTGCATGGACACCAGAACTCCAAAGAACACAAATCTGTTCACACGATACTCAAGCCACGGTGGATCCCACATTTCGCAAACTAGAGAAAAGGGACACCAGAAGCTTAGTAATGTTCCAGTGATGAAACAGATGACATACCTTATGGAGAATCATCGTCGGGCACACGAGCGTTGTCAGACCGACGCAGACTTTAAGCAAAAATTGCTCAACCACTGCATAGTTCAATTGTTGGAGGACACCTTAGGATCCCGGACATATGAGCGCACGTTACAGTTACATCCAAAGTGGCAGCTCATGGAGACTCGTGAATTACTACAGTTGCTAAGTCTGGATATCCAGGAGGCCCAGATTCGTTCGACTCAACGTTTAGTCATCCGTCGAGGTCACAATGGGAGCACAGCCCGGGGGGAGACGACGAATAGTAGACCTAGCCCGCACATAGTATAGCGTCAGCAGCAATAATGGCAACAGCGTCCGACTCCAACAACTAACCCAACGACGTGCAACGGTTGCCGAGCACAAGCACCACCAGGGTTGCGACACATACCGCGCTGCCATCATCATCGGGCGGCCCAACCTGGGGGGCAGGACGTGAGAACACGGACGTCAGACACTAGTCAGCAGCAGAGAGAGGTTACAATGGGACAACGATTTACACCACCACAAGGGTCCGGTCACCAACCACCACAATACCCAAGCCGACAGTCGACCTCAACTACGACGACACCGCAGGTTACTGTACTCACACAAGAGGACGGACCGGGGCACGATAGCCAGTCGGCCACGGAGTTACATATACACTCCATCCTAACCAATGACATCGAGCAGGCCGCGGATACACAAACGGATACATCGCAGTCCCAATGGACTCCGATAACAAAGAAACACTGAGACCTCAGGGTGTCCGATATTTACGTTTACGCATCCATTGAAGACAGTGATGGCAATAAAAGACCCACTGCTGTCCTCCGACAATCGTGTCTATATACAATTGCAGGTGAATGGTCGTACATTCCGAGCGTTGGTAGATACAGGTGCAAGCCGTAGTTGCATCGCACGAGCATCCGCAGACCTCTTAGGACGACCAATTACACCAGTACCCAGCGATTTATATATATATTTGACTGATAGAGCGGTACGCACTCCTCGCCTGGGGACAACAGAAGTGCTACCGATACGTTATCGCTCAGAGATCATCAATGGATCGTTCGAATTGATGAATCTCCCTGATAGCATCGATATTAGACTAGGGCTGGACATGATGACGGACCTTCGGGTATACATTGGCGGAATTCAGTCACCACTCGCACCCATCGACCCAACGGAACTAGATGACCTCCTTACACCTATGGCTCGGCGTCAAGCCCCCAACACCACCGAACCCGACGGAGGACGGACAAGGCTGGTCGCAGTGTTAGAAGCGAACGCCGACATTGTAGACAATGCACGTTGCCGCTTAGAGGGGAGTGAAGTAGCGATACCGGTGACACGCGAGCAGGTTATGAGCATGAGACGATCGACACGCAACTTTGTACCCGAGCGGTGGTTACCGTATGTCGATGAACAGGTACAGAAGTGGTTGAAGGGTTTATAGGACTAGATTATCTAGAGGTTGGTGGTTTTGTACAGGGAAAAACTTGTCCCTTAGGGGTCATAAGATGAAAAACCTGCCACCATTTTCCATTCTAACATATTACTTATTAAATTAATTTATACTAAATAACAGGAGTACTCTACCACGCTCATCAGAGTCAGTCTTGACCTGTGCTCTCGGTTGATTACAACTTGGCTTGGGAAAACGCATCTCAACGGTGGCTCTCAACTGAGTCTTTGGTTCTTATCCCTCTGGTGTGTGGGCAGAGCATGCTTCAAGGTGAGAAAAGTGGGAACTACTAGCGTTAGTCTACAGGTTGACACACTTCCGTGACTACCTCGACGGCCAGCGCTTTGCGGTGTTTATGGATCACAAAGCACAGTATATATGAATACCCAACTGAAGCTTAATCCGATGCTACAAAGGTGGCACCACATCATAGCGCCCTTTAGCTACACCATTTCACATATACCGGGGGAGAGGAATGTCCTGCCGGATATGCTGAGTCGCATACATGAAGGGACCGCGGAAACAGAGATGCCAGAGATCCTGTATGCAGACTGTTGGCAATTATTTCCCAGCTACTTCGAACAAGCACAACGTGTCTTTGGACACAATAACATAAACGTGTTCGCAGCACCCCACAACGCGCAGCTTCCTAGGTTTTGAACAAAGTACGAACACGACGGTACGTTTGATCATAACTGGGCGATGGTGGACGGGTGGATGAACCCGCCGTGGAGGTTGATACACCGCGTGCTTCGGAAGATCAAAGCGGACGGGGCTATAGCGACGGCGTGCTTACTTTGGACTCCTCGCGCACCATGGTTTGACCTTTTCAAATAATTATTGCAAGCCAAGCCAGTGTTAGTACCCCGGACCCCGCATACATTTCTAAAGTATGCAAAGTATGCCTGTGGAAAGACGTCGTCGGGGCACACGGTCGTTGCACGAGTGGGGCCGCCGTCAGGATTCCAGCTAGCCGAGAGCTTTACACAAAGATTAGGTTATGTCGAACATCGACACACACCATACCATCAGTGTTTGGATACGGCACGAGATATTTCCGTGGCGTTAACTAGTGAGGGGCACAACCGGCCTTTGCGAATGCCACACCAGTGGAACAACAACGGCGTACACAACTCACACAGGCACAGCATGAGCAAGGCCACCACGGCGCTGCCGATACTGTCCAATAGTTACAACAGAACGGACACGTTTGGCCGGGGGCATTAGAACTGGCTACATAAATTAAGCGGCAGTGTGGACAGTGTTTGGGCCAGGATACCCTACGTAAAGGCTTCCATCCGATAATATGCATTGGCGCGAAGTATGTAGAGTTTGAGAGTAAAGGAAACAATAGACCTCTTCTCAAGTGCGAATCTCTCAGCTAGGTTAAGTCCCCAGCTGAAGCACTCGCATTGAGTCTTTATATGTGTTTAGTATTTTCTACACTAGACTCAATATTTACTTAAGTGTTTCTCTCACACGCGGGGGTCCCGGTATCATCTGCCGGTAATCCCGCTATATTTCTGATCACTCTATCATCAGAAATATTGGATCCTGGATCCAAAACTCAGTATTTGATAATCCTGGGTTTTGGGTGTAGGATTGGCTTTTCTGATAATCTGGCCCCTGGATGCTACAGCCCCCCAACTCTTAGCCGGCGTAGGAGTAAAAAGTGACATCTTGTAGGACTCGATTATCTAGAGGTTGGTGGTTTTGTACAGGGAAAAACTTGTCCCTTAGGGGTCATAAGATGAAAAACCTGCCACCATTATCCATTCTAACATATTACTTAATAAATTAATTTATACTAAATAACAGGAGTACTCTACTACGCTCATCAGAGTCAGTCTTGACCTGTGCTCTCGGTTGATTACAACTTGGCTTGGGAAAACGCATCTCAACGGTGGCTCTCAACTGAGTCTTTGGTTCTTATCCCTCTGGTGTGTGGGCAGAGTATGCTTCAAGGTGAGAAAAGTGGGAGTGTCCTTTGGTGTCAATGAAACTTGGCTAAGTTCCCCGCCTTGTGCGCTGCCTGTTGCTCGCTGATCTTTCATCAATGCTGATTGCTGTTGACTGCTTCGGCCTGGATTGTCTTCGCTTGCGTCGTTCACGCTGTCGGTATATCGTAAGAATATCAGGATCTGCGATGTCTGATTCCTGTGTCCAGGTGCGCTCTCCATCTGTCCATTGCAATAGGTAGTCCTGGGTTCCTCCACCTCTTGTGGATTCTCTGTGGTCTAGTATCGAAGAGAATTGAGTCTCTTCTGATTGTTAGATTTGATTGTTGGTAGTGAAACCTTCTGATTCACTAGCCTTCTTGACTAAACCAATTAGCTCATCAATGACCGAGTTAGGATATTCGGGGGCTCGAGTGCCATCAAGGTTACGGACGAAATATACGTTGCCCTCTTTGCTTGCTACCTTGTATGGTCCTCCATATAGTGCTGCCATTTTATTCATTTCACCTAGGTACCGAATCATCACAATGTTCCCCTCTTGGAAGTGTACATACTTCTCTTGATATTTGCGATCAAATGCTGCGTGCATTTTTCTTGATATTGTGCCACATTGGCATCTTGTTGTGGTCGTTTTGACTCCTCTAAATTTTGTAGTCGTGTTTCCCATGTTAGTTTTGTACTTGGTGCACTGACTGTTGTGTCATAATTGGTGAGTTGGTATGGTGCAGACGTCATTGACTGTTCTGCGTGTGGGGTGTGGTTAGGATATATTTGTAATGCATCAGTAAATTGGTTGAATCAGATTTGTTTATTACCTGTTTCTGCGTCCCCGTGTGGCATGCGGTGTCCGTGCTGATTGTAGGGCCTTGTGCTTGTGTGGCTTGAATTGCTCGTGTTCGAGTTACCTGGGTTTATTTGAAGAATTTTTGGTTTGAGATGATAAACTTGGGTTTATGATGGTTTATTGGTTGTAAACCTAGTTTCTCTCGTGACTTGGTTTTTGGTTTTGTAAACCTGTAATTTGGTTTTACAAATTTTCTATTATATTTCATTTTTATTTGAGTCTCGGTGGTGTTCCGAACTTCCTCCTATGTTTATATACCTTGTAGTATTCATTGTACACCTGTAATACTACTTGTATACGTTTATACAGATATTATCAGATATCTTTTGTGGTCTGTGCTTTGTGTGGTGTGCATACGTCAGCTTATACCCGCTGCCGTGTGTGATGTACAACGTATTGGTATGCCTAGTATGTTTGAATTTCGATATGTGTTATCTGATTCCTGGTAGTCTTTGTTATTGGCACGTGTACATGTATTCTTTACGTTGTCACTGTTATCCATGTGTCCGGATTTTTGTGTGAAATTTGGCTTCTGGCCGTTAGTTTTGCTACACTATTGTCTTCTAGTGTTGGTTTATCCTTGTAATCTATGTGTAGCTACAGTAATCTTGTATATCGCCTTGTGATTTAGGACTGGAGTGTCCATACCAAATTTACAATATGTTCTAACTAATTACTGAGTGGTGTTCTCATTAGTTTGTTTGTACCTATGCTGTTCTTGTTGTTGCATTACTCTAGTCTTTAGTCTTTTACTTTGTTCTTACTGGATGTGATTTCTTGGCCTTTTATTTCTACCTCATGGAGTGTGAGGATGTGTTGTCCCATGGTGTGTGGGGGTTTCTTGTTTTATTGCGACGCTAACATTCAGTAGTGTTACTGTTGTTATCAGGGTTTATTTGTATCTCTTATTGACACAGAGTAGTGTGTTCATACTCGTTTTAGATCTACGTCTTTGATTCCAAGAGGTATAGCCCCTTACTACTAGTGACTATAGGGATATTATGTATTTTGTGTTTATAATGGTTCTGAAAGCAACAAGAACAATGTCATCCCTAAGGATAACCAGACCAAAAGAAATGGACCGCCGGCAGGTAACCCTAAGCCCAGGCTTAGGGAGGTCAAGAACTGTAGTGAGACTGATTGCAATTGGCGAATGACCCAACATGAGCCGAATGGCAGATGGAATGGAAGGCACGCAGAAAAGTGTAAGCACTTTATCGAGAAGTGTGCCGACTGTACAGGGACTGGAGATTACCACAAGCATACATGCAAGGTGAAACCAAAAGTTGAAGTTAAGTGACAAACATACCGGGTCTTGTCACTAAGACAAAAGGACGCACCTCAAGACGATCGTGTAATCCTAGATATACGAGTTAACGGACAAGAAATAAAGCGTTGCTGGATCCGGGCTCGCAAATTTCATGTATATCCTCTAGATTTTGTAAAATGACAGACGTAACTCGAAAGTCAAAGCCAGCTATGTTGA